AGGAAGGGGTGGAATCTAGTCTGCACAGAGGAGAGACCCCGCACACCACATAACTGCCCTGAACCCCCGATCTTCATTACTACAAAGGGGACCTGTGACGGAGGGGTGAGGGGCATGCACATGGGCTCTCAGGAAGCAGAAGGGCAAAGGATGCCTGACTGCCCTTGCCAGTGTAGCGAACTTGCAATGTGTCATGGAGGCCCCTGTCTTCCCAGCCTCTCTGTAGGGGGGCCTCCCCACAGGTGTGCCCCGGCATGGATACCCCTCCCATCCTAGGGGCGCTGGAGGGGGGCTGGGGAGCCCCATCCTGATGTCATTTTCTTTGTGTGCAGCGGTCTGTAGCAGGCTGGGGGTATCTTTCTAGATCGGCACACACGGGGCATGGGTTGGTGCAGTGGAAGGAGCAGCTGGGGACACCTTCCGTGGGGAGCCGGCCTGCCCCTCGCAGCGTCAGCTGACGCCCACCGTGCCGCCCGTTTTCTTTTCCCTCTTACGTTGTCACAGCCCCAGAACCCTGCCACAAAGAGACTTACCCTGGTTCAAGGAGAAATGAGGAAAATGTGGACAAATACGTATATCCATAAACTTTTCATAAAGCTAAGTTGGTTTTTTAAAGAACCGTTGTTTGCTTTGAGACCATGTCCTTCCTCCTGTTTTTCTAAACGTTTTATTTTGAAGTACAAGGGCTCTTCAAAAAGATCGTGGAAAAATGGAATGCAATGATAATACGCTTCCTTCCATGAACTTTTTGAAGTACCCTCTTACAACACACTCACCAAAAAGCAAACAAGTCAGAAGTACCAGTCGCTGGCATTTCACACAGTGAAGTACAACCGTGCACACAACCGCACAACCAGCACCCGGGAGAAGAATCCAAACACATCCAGGCTCCCCAAACACTCCCCGCCTTTTGTTTCAGGCACTACCCCCAGTGGTAGCCGCTGTCCTAACTTCTAACACTGTGGGTTCAGTTGTGCAGACACTTGTTTTGACTCTGATTTCTTTCCCTCAACCTCATGTTTATAAAGTTTGTCCATGTTTTTCCCACAACAGTCCATGCGTTCTCTTGGCTGCAGCATCCCACTGTGTGCACGCACTACAGCTGATCTGTTCATCCTGCTGTCCATA